CTCTGCCTCCTGGGTTCAAGTGATTCTCCTGCCTCGGCCTCCCAAGTAGCTGGGATTACAGGTGTGCACCACCATGCCCAGCTGATGTATTTTTCGTAGAGATGGGGTTTCTTCATGTTGGCCTTGAACTCCCAACTTGAGGTGATCTACCGGCCTCAGCCTCCCAAAGTGCTGAGATTACAGGTGTGAGCCATAGCACCCAAGCCTAAAAGTTTTTAATTTTTATGGGTTCATAGTAGATATATGTATTTATGCGGTACCTGAGATTTTTTTTTTCTCCAGACAGAGTCTCACTCTGTTGCCACTCCCCAGAGTGCAGTGGCACAATCTCAGCTCACTGCAGTCTCTATCTCCCGAGTTCAAGTAATTCTCCTGCCTCAGCCTCCTCAGCAACTGGAATTACAGGTGCACACCACCACACCTACTTCATTTTTGTATTTTTAGTAGAGACAGGTTCCACCGTGTTGGCCAGGCTGGTGTCAAACTCCCAACCTCAAGTGATCTGCCCACCTTGGCCTCCCAAAGTGCTGGGATTACAGGCATGAGCCACCACACCTGGCCTAGGGTACATGAGATATTTTGATACAGGCATACAAAGTGCAATAATCACATCAGGGTAAATGGGGTATCCATCATCTCAACTATTTATTATTTCTTTGCTTTCTTTTTTTTCTTGAGATGGAGTTTCAATGTTTTTGTCCAGGCTGGAGTGCAGTGACACGATCTTGGCTCACTGCAACCTCTGCCTCCCGGGTTCAAGCGATTCTTCTGCCTCAGCCTCCTGAGTAGCTGGGACTATAGGCACATGCCACCAAGCCTGGCTAATTTTTGTATTTTCAGTAGAGCTGGGGTTTTACCATATTGGCCAGGCTGCTCTCGAACTCCTGACCTCGTGATCTGCCCACCTTGGCCTCCCAAAGTGCTGGGATTACAGGCATGAGCCACTGCACCTGCATTTATCATTTCTTTGTGTTACAAGAAATCCAATTATAACCTTTTAGTTATTTTATTTATTTTTTATTTTGAGTCAGGGTCTCACTCTGTTGCCCAGGCTGAAGTGCAGTGGTGAGATCTTGACTCACTGCAACCTCTGCTTCCTGGGTTCCAGCAATTCTCCCATCTCAGTGTCTCGAGTAGCTGGGTCTACAGAAATGCACCACCACACCCAGCTAATTTTTTATTTTTTTTCATAGAAATAGGGTTTCCCTATGTTGGCCAGGCTGGTCTCAAACTCCTGACCTCAGGTGATCTGCCTGCCTCAGCCTCCCAAAGTGCTAGGATTAAAGGCATAAGCCACCGCACCCACTTCTTCTAGTTATTTAAAAATGTACAAAAATTATTGTTGACTGTAATCACCCTGTGGTGCCATCAAATAGTAGATCTTATTCATTCTATCCAACTATATTTTTGAAACCCTTTCCCTCTCCACCACTACTTTTCCCAGCCTCAGGTAACCATCATTCTACCCTCTATCTTCATGACTTCAATTGTTTTCATTTTTAGCTTCCACAAATGGCTGAGGACATGCAAAGTTTGTGTTTCTGTCCTTGGCTTATTTCATTTAACACAATGTCCTGAAGGTCCATCCATGTTGTTGCAAATGGCCTGATCTCATTCTTCTTTATGGCTGAATAGTACTCCATTGTGTATATGTATCACATGTTCTTTATTCATTCTCTGTTAATGGATACTTACGTTGCTTCTGAATCTTGGCTATTGTGAATAATGCTGAAATAAACATGGGAGTGTTGATATCTCTTCAATACATGGATTTTCTTTCTTTTGAGTATATTCCTAGCACTGGGATTGCTGGGTCATGTGGTAGCTCTATTTTTAGTTTTTGGAGGAAGCTCTGTACTGTTTTTCATAGTGGCTGTACTAACTTACATCTCCATCAACAATGTACAAGGGTTCCCTTTTTTCTATATATTTGTCAGGGTTCATTATTGCCTGTGTTTTGGATAAAAGCCATTTTAACTGGGGTGGTTGTTTTAGTTTTTGCAATTGGGGGGCTACTACCTAAAACCACACAAGACAGAAGAAAATATTTAAAAGGTGTTTTCTGATCATAGATCTCTGAATCTCAGTATATTAGCTTTTAATGATTAGAAAGTGATTCTGTAACACGCACACACAAACACAAAATAAAAAAAGAAAAGAGAAAAAAAAAGAAAGTGATTCTGTGAAGATTCAGTATCATGTGAGCCATTGGGATGAAGGGACTAGCTTAGTTACATGAGCAAGGCAGATTAGGAGAAAAGGAAACGGTATTTTTTGGGGAAAATGGAGCTACAAAGGTATAAATTACAGAGAAGTGTGTACATTTGTTTGTTCATCCATTCATTCATTCAAAAACTATTGGACATCTACTCTGTGCCAAGCACCTTGCTTGATGTTGGACTGTGATAAGCCTACAAGAATCTCAACAGAACTAATATACCTAAGTATATTACTACATATTTTATAGATCCCATTTCATTCCATTTTAATATGAATGTCCTATGCACAAAATTTAGTTTTATTTGGATGCAATTAGAAATCATCATTATTTTATTCAATTAGATAAATGTGTATGATCTTATAATTTTGGTCTATAATAAAAAACAATATATTTAGCTTTTATTTCAGGAGTAGTATGTGTGATGATGTCAAATTCAAATCTAATTTCCCATTCAAATAGAGGGTGAGCTGGGGATATATATCTTATAATTCCAAAATTGGGGATTCTTATAAGAAAACTGGTCCTGAGAGAGAAACATTTCTCTCCTTTTTCTCTCTCAGCAGAGCTAATGAATGAGCAAATGGGGGATTTAATATCATCCAATCTAGACATTAAGATTCAGACTTTAAAAATAGCCTCCTAGGCCCAGCACAGTGGCCCATGCCTATAATCTCAGCATTTTGGGACGTGTGGCAGGCAGATCACTTGAGCCCAGGAGTTCAAGACCAGCTTAAAAAGCATAGGGAAACTCCATCTCTTAAAAAAAAAAAAAAAGTTTCATGACTGTTATTGAGATCATTTTGCTCTAGAATATTGTGTTCAACAGTCTTAGTATAAACGCCTATGTTGTACATTTAGAGTTTCCACTGACTGCATTTTATTTTGTGTGGAAATATGATTAGTAGAATCTGTGTTGGCTCACTGGAATCTGTAGAAAATATGAAAACTGTAGCAGCCCAATTAACTTTACTGACTTTTATTTGGTAAAATGAACATTCCAAGATCCTGGTATGTAACTTGTTGGCCTTATAACATTTACAAAAAAGTCTATGGATCTGGCCAGCAGCAGTGGTTCATACCTGTAATCCCAGCACTATGGGAGGCCAAGGCGGGCAGATCACCTGAGATCAGGGGTTGGAGAACAGCCTGGCTAAGAAGGTGAAACCCTGTCTCTACTAAAAATACAAAAAAATTAGCTAGGCTTGGTGGCGTGAACCTGTAATCCTACCTACTCGAGAGGCTGGGTCACGAGAATAGCTTGAATTTGGGAGGCAGAGGTTGCGGTGAGCCAGCATCACGCCACTGCACTCCAGCCTGGGAGATGGGAGGTAGAGCCAGATTCTGTTGCAAAAAAAAAAAGCCTTTCTGGTGGTGACAACCTACCCATGAGAACATGCCTCTCGCAAAGGATCTCCTTCGTCCCTCTCCAGAAGAGAAGAAGAGGAAACACAAGAAGAAACACCTGGTGCAGAGCCCCAATTCCTACTTCATGGATGTGAAATACCCAGGATGCTATAAAATCACCACAGACTTTATCCATGCACAAATGGTAGTTTTCTACCACTGTCCTCTGCCAGGCTACAGGAGGAAAAGCAAGGCTTACAGAAGGATGTTCTTTCAGGAGGAAGCAGCACTAAAAGCACTCTGAATCAAGATGAGTGGGAAACCATCCCAATAAACACATTTTGGATTAAAAAAAAAAAGAGAGAAAAGAAAAAGAAAAAGAAAAAAATATATAGATTTAATAGTCTTTAAAACTAATACTATTCTATTAAGCAGAATGATCCATGTTGGAAACAATTTTTCATGGATCTCTCACATTTCTGCATATCTCATGAGCAGAGAGTCACTGGTACATTTGTTCCAGACTATCTTTTCAAGGATATTTGTATGCTGAACAGCCTTGGAAGACAGAGGTAATAATTCCTTCTGGAGCAACAGGACACACTTATTGTTGGCTCATTTTAAAAGTGCAGGTTTCTCGATCTCTCTTTTTTTTTTTTTTTTTTTTTTTTGTTTATTTTTTTTTCTTTTACCCAGGCTAGAGTGCAGTGGCTCAATTTCAGCTTCCTGTGACCTCTGCCTCCTGGGTTCAAGCAATTCTCTTGCCTCAGCCTCCTGAGTAGCTGGGGTTACAGGCGCCTGCCACAGTGCCAGGCTAATTTTTTTATTTTTAATAGAGACGGGGTTTCATCATCTTGGCCAGGCTGGTCTTGAACTCCTGATCTCATGATCCACATGCCTCGGCCTCCCAAAGTGCTGGGATTACAGGTGTGAGCCACCACACCTGGCTTTGCTTCATCTCTTATAATGCAAACCACTGCATGTGCTGTTGTCACCTGGTCCTTTTCCTGTCACCATGGAGGGTTTGAGACTCTGGAAGCAAATGCAAAAAGTGATGAAATTCTGGTTACTGGTATTAACATGAATAATAAAAATCCCTTATATCTGACCCAGGAATGTCATGTCTTCAATCAGAATTCCTAATGGTTGGCTAACTTGTTAAGTTGCAAGTAGGGTAAAATCTTAGATCCTTTACAGTTCTTGATTGTCATTACCATAATTTTTTTTTTTTTTTTGGAGACAGAGTCACTCTTGTTGCCCAGGCTGGAGTGCAGTGGCACCATCTCAGCTCACTGCAATCTCCTGGTTCAAGCGATTCTCCTGACTCAGCCTCCTGAGTAGATGAGATTACAGGCACCCGCCACCATGCCTGGCTAAATTTTGTATTTTTAGTAGAGACAGGGTTTCACCATGTTGGGCAAGCTGGTCTCGAACTCCTGACTTCAGGTGATCCACCTGCCTCAGCCTCCCAAAGTGCTGGGATTACAGGCGTGAGCCCCCACACCCAGGAGTCAGTACTATAATTGATAGTCAACTTTTTTTCATCATGTGTACATGTAACTAATATGACCTTGCTAGATGTATAACTAGTAAAAGAAAGGAAAGTGACTGCTAGTCTTCAAAAAGAATAATTCCCTGGTGGTCTGTTGGCTAGGAACCAAAAAAAAAAAAAAAAAAAAAAAAAGGCTGGGCATGGTGATTTACACCTGTAATCCCAGCACTCTGGGAGGCTGAGGTGAGAGGATCACTTGAGCCCAGGTATTTGAGATCTTCGAGATTACAAAGAGATGATTACATCAAAGAGATGATTATATCACTGCATTCCAGCCTGGGTGGCAGAGCAAGATGTGTCTCAACCAAAAAAAAAATAAATAAATAAATAGTAAAAAATAGTGTCTTCTTTTTTTCCCACCCTACCCCCATTCTATCTAAATTGTTGACTATTGGTTATTAAGTATTAAAAAAAAAAGAAGGTTGTAATTTAAAAAAATTAATAAATTGTTGACTAGAAGCCAACTCTGTTTAAGAAAAGCAGAAATCAGTGGAATAATCTATCCCTATAAATTCCTTAGCTGACCAGAACTAGACATCACCAATTTCAAAAAAAGACGTGATCAAGCCAAGGCTGCTGGGACCTGCTGAGGGCTAGCGAGTGAATTGGGAGTCAGGCCTGGAATGGAAGATTTTTTTCTTCCTTTTTTTTTTTTGCTTTTTTTTTTGAGTTTCGCTCTTTTTGCCCGGGCTGGAGTACAATGGCATGATCTCGGCTCACTACAACCTCTGCCTCCTGTGTTCAAGGGATTCTCCTGCCTCAGCCTCCCAAGCAGCTGGGATTATAGGTGCCCGGCATCATGCCTGGCTAATTTTTTGTATTTTTAGTAGAGATGGGGTTTTACCATGTTGGCCAGGCTGCCTTGAACTCCTGATCTCAGGTGATCCACCTGCCTTGGCCTCCCAAAATGCTGAGATTACAGGCATGGGCCACCCTACCCAGCCGGAAGATTTCTTGTAATTCAAGTGTCTTCCAAGATGCTTGTTAAAGATGACTAGTATGTTTTCTTTTCTTGTTAGATAGAAGTATTATATTTTATTTAAAAATTTTTAAAAAATATTTATTTTATTTTATTTTTGAGACAGAGTCTTGTGCTCTTGCCAGGGTGGAATGCAGTGGTGCAATCTCAACGCATTGCAACCTCTGCTTTCCGGGTTCAAGTGATCCTCCTGCCTCAGTCTCCTGAGTAGCTGGGATTACAGGCCCTTGCCACCATGCCTGGCTAATTTTTTTGTATTTTTAGTAGAGATTGGGTTTCACCATGTTGGCCAGGCTGGTCTTGATTGGGTTTCACCATGTTGGCCAGGCTGGTCTTCAACTCCTGATCTCAAGTGATTCACCCACCTCGGCCTCCCAAAGTGCTGGGATTACAGGAGTAAGCCACCATGCCCAACCTATTTTTTTGTTTTTGAGACAGGGTCTTGCTATGTTGCCTAGGCTAGTCTCTCCCTCTTTTTTTCTTTTTTCTGAGATGGAGTTTTGCTCTTTTTGCCCAGGCTGGAGTACAATGGTGTGATCTCAGTTCACTGCAGCCTCCACCTCCTAGGTTCAAGTGACTCTCCTGTCTCAGCCCCCCAAGTAGCTGGGATTACAAGCATACCCACCACACCCAGCTAATCTTGTATTTTTAGTAGAGACAGGGTTTCACTACGTTGGCCACGCTGGTCTTGAACTCCTGACCTCAGGTGATCCACCCACCTTGGCCTCCCAGAGTGCTAGGATTACAAGCGTGAGCCACCACACCTGGCTGGTTCCACTTGTGTAAACTTTGAGCAAATTATTTAACTTGTCTAAGTCTCAGTTTCCTTATCTTTAAATGGACATTATAACAATATCCCCTTATCACTAAAAATGGCTGTGATGATGAAATGAGATAATGGCACAGGGCAAGGCACATAGTAAGCTCTCATTAAGTGGTAATTTAATTTTATTATTATTAGATACCTTTTTTTTTGTCTCCATGTTGGGCAGGCTGGTCTAGGATTACAGGCGTGAGCCACTGCACCCGGCCTTTTTAATTTTTTTATGGAGACCGCAGATACTTGTTAAACATATGCCTGATGACTGGGCATGGTGGCTCGCATCTATAATCCCAGCACTTTGGGAGGCTGAGAGGCAGGAGGATTGCCTGAGCCCAGGTGTTCAAAACCAGCCTGGGCAACATAGCAAAAGCCAGTCTCTGAAACAAAAGAAAAAAAAAGAAAGAAAAAAGAAAAAGAAAGTCTAAGAACCAAGGATAATTATAATAGTAAACATTTATGAAAGACTTACTATGACCAGGCCTATGCTAAGAACTTTACAAACAGTAATCCGTTTAATTCTTTTTTTTTTTGAGACGGAGTTTCGCTCTTGTTACCCAGGCTGGAGTGCAATGGCGCGATCTCGGCTCACCGCAACCTCCGCCTCCCAGGTTCAGGCAATTCTCCTGCCCCAGCCTCCTGAGTAGCTGGGATTACAGGCACGCGCCACCATGCCCAGCTAATTTTTTGTATTTTTAGTAGAGACGGGGTTTCACCATGTTGACCAGGATGGTCTCGATCTCTTGACCTCGTGATCCACCCGCCTCGGCCTCCCAAAGTGCTGGGATTACAGGCTTGAGCCACCGCGCCCGGCCCGTTTAATTCTTACAGCACCACTATGAGGTGAGTGCCAATATTATACCCAATTTATAGATGAGGAAATGAGGAACAGGAGGATTAAGTAACCCAAGGTTACACAGCCAATAATGGTAAAGCTGGGAGTTAAACCCAGGATTCTGAATCTAAATCCATTTCTTTTTCTTTCCTTTTCCTTTCTTCTTTTTAGACAGGGCCTCACAGTGTTGCCCAGCATGGAATGCAGTGGTGTAATCACTACTCATTGCAGCCTCGACCTCCTAGGCTCAAGAAATCCTCCCACCTCAGCCTCCTGAGTAGCTGGGACTGCAGGAGTGCACCACCATGCTTGGCTAATTTTTTTTTTTTCTTTTCTTCTTTTCCTATCGCTTTGAGCAAAACCAGCTAATGTTTTTTAATGATCTATAGAGATGGTGTCTCACTGTGTTGCTCAGGTTGGTCTTGAACTCCTGGGAGATCGTCCTGCCACAGCCTCTCTAAGTACTGGGATTATAGGTGTGAGCCACTACGACCAGCCACAGATTTAAGATGAGTAAATGCTCTACATTTGAATAGTAGTCCATCTATGTGGATTGACAGATGCTTTTTTTGTTTGTTTTTAAAAATGAGGGCCAACTGCTTGGGAGGCTGTGGTGGGAAGATCGCTTGAGCCCAGGAGGTTGAGGCTGCAGTGAGCCATGATTTCATCACTGCACTTCAGTATGGGCAACAGAGTGAGACTCTGTCTCAAAATAAAATAAGATGAGGATGCTCTGTAGATGGAGCTCACTTTCTTTTATATTTTAGTAGAGATGGGGTTTCACTGTGTTGCTCAGGCTAGTCTCCAACTCCTGAGCTCAGGCAATCCACCTGCCTTGGCCTACCAAAGTGCTGGGATTACAGGTGTGAGCCACTGCGCCCGGCCAATGAGCTCACTTTCCGCACTACCTGTCTGGTTATGATATAATGAGTGGTCCCATTTGGACTTCCTGGCTGTCCAAATTTATCAGTCTGTTTCCAATCTATTCCTTCAACTAAACACAAGCCAATTTCATCTTGGAAAACTAGCTTGCACTCTTTAGAATTCTCTAGGGGGGTTCTTCCATATTATATTTTAATTTGTTTTATGTTATCAGTGACCATATAAAAGGCTTTTAAGGTCTAATCAACTAGTTTTCTCCCTTGAAACGACTAGAAGAGGTAAGTGAATTACCATCTAGCATGGACAACACAAATAGCTTTTTTTCCTTGCATTTTAACAACGATGAAAATGTGATTGCATTATGGTCTACAGGAAAGGACAGTTAACAGACAATTATGAGTCCTGCTTCAGCTGTTCCCTAGCTGTGGGATCTTGGCAAGTTATCTTAGCTTTCTGAGCATTAGATTTCTTGTTTATAAAATAGAAATTATGACCTTGCCAGTTGTTATGAGGATTGTGTGAGATACATGTAGGCAATCAACACATGTGGACATAAAGCTAGTGTAGCTAATTTAGATAAGGGGGTCAGGGAAGGTTCCATCAATTTAATTTTCTATCTGTAGCCATCACCCCAAATACTGAAGGCAATTTCAGAGATTTCAGGTGATAAGGGGATAGGGAAAGAATTAGACTCTTAGACTCAGAAAATCTCTAGCCTACATCTATTTAGAATTTTACAACTTACATTAAAGGTAATATACTCACTTTGTGCTGTGTAGATCTTGCAAAGTTCTCTGGCCGAATGCAATCAGTTTCACTCGGACAAGACTAAAGACTATTCAAATAATGTGAATATAAAATATTATACAAATTTTTTCAACTTATGGTCCATTTATACAAAGACTCATTGCCATAGGAGAAGCATCTCAATTATTTTCTAGGCTGGGTGCGGTGGCTCATGCCTGTAATCTCAGCACTTTGGGAGGCCCAGGCAAGCGGATCATGAGGTCAGGAGTTCGAGAGCAGCCTGGCCTATGTGGTAAAACCGCTGTCTCTACTAAAAATACAAAGAAAAAAAAAAAAAAGCCAGCCTTGGTGGCACATGCCTGTAGTACCAGCTACTTGGGAGGCTGAGGCAGGAGAATCGCTGGAACCTGGGAGGTGGAGGTTGCAGTGAGCTGAGATTGCACCACTGCACTCCAACCTGGAGTGACAGAGCGAGATTCTGTCTCAAAAAAAAAAAAAATATTTTCTTGTGGTTGCAATCATTTTGTGTAATTCTTTTATTCTCTCTTTCCCTTTTTTTTTTTTTTATTTTTTTTTTTTTTTTTTTTTTTTTTTTTTTTTAGAGATCGGGTTTCACCATGTTGGCCAGGATGGTCTCGATCCTTGACCATTGTGATCCGCCTGTCTTGGCCTCCCAGAGTGCTGGGATTACAGGCATGAGCCACTGCACCCAGCCAAATTCTCTCTCTCTCTCGAAGTTTTTTATGACCCTTCCTGTTGGATTTGGGTCCCCTTCTATAGGTTTCCATATCTGCAGTTTCCAAAGGCATCTGGGATGTATGGTTCTGTCATGTATATGGGGTTCTCCCCAACAGATTATTAATTTGCTATGGATGAGAACTCTTCATGTTCCTGACAATCTTCACCCTCCTGCCCCTCAAACTCACAGCTGTGCCACTGCAATCTGCTCTGGGATCCTGGGATGAATTCCTTCATGTCCTTCCCCTTCCTTTTTATGTCAGCCCAGTTTCCCAAGTCACCTCTCATCCTTTAGACTCTGATGTCCACATGATCTTGTATATCTCCTTTTCTGATCCCATGTCTAACTTCTTTTTTTTTTTTTAATTTTTGAGACAAAGTCTCAATCTGTTGCCTAGGCTAGAGTGCAATGGCACAATCTCGGCTCACTGCAACCTCTGCCTCCCACGTTTGAACGATTCTCCTGCCTCAGTCTCCTGAGTAGCTGTGTCTACAGGTGTGTACCACCATGCCTGGCTAAGTTTTGCATTTTTATTGGAGATGGAATTTTACTATGTTGGCCAGGCTGGTCTCAAACTCTTGACCTCTCTTGATCCCCTGATCTCGGCCTCCCGAAGTGTTGATTACGGGTGTGAGCCACCACACCAGCCCCCTCCCCAGCTTCTGCAACACTTCCACAGGGACCTCAGCTGTATTCTTTCAAAAGCCTCACTTCCTCACTTCTCTGAATGCTCTCTTCACCTGCTTGCTAGACCTGGCTCTCCTGAGCACACTGTTACCTTGCTGTAGATGGCTGTTTTCTCTTCCACACTCCTCAGACCAGGGCCCTACAAATGGGGTGAGTGTTCTTGTTCCTGCGTCCAGGACATTTTCCCTCCCACTCCACAGCTCCCAATACCACCTCTGACTGTCACATCATCAAACTCTACTGAGTTGCGGTCCTCTAACACGTCCTCCTTCCCACACACGCCCTCATTCCTTCAAGGTTCCTTTCACCCTCTCAGTTTCTGTCATCCTTCTTGATGATTGTTTTATCCTTACAGGTGATTGCTTTCAATATAGTATCTAGTCATAGTGTCTCTTAGGCTTCCCCTCTTCAAATGGCCTTGCACCCTTCCATGCCTCGTGCCACCCATGCCCAAGGTCAATCCTTAGACTTGATCATTACTAATAGCTGCAACCTGTCCATCAGCTCAAGCTCAAGGGCAGGCTATTATTGTTACCATTATCAATTTACAGAATTTTTTTTTTTCGTATTTTTTTTAGTAGAGATGGGATTTCACCATGTTGGTCAGGCTGGTCTTGAACTCCTGACCTTGTGATCCACACGTCTCAGCCTCCCAAAGTGCAGGGATTACAGGTGTGAGCCACTGTGCCCTAATTTACAGAATTAAAAAAATATATATTTATTTATTTATTTCTGAGATGGAGTCTCAGTCTGTCACCCAGGCTGGAGGGCAGTGGTGTAATTTTGGCTCACTGCAACCTCCGCCTCCCGGGTTCAAGTGATTCTCCTGCCTCAGCCTCCTACAGGTGCCCACCACTACACCCAGCTAATTTTTGTATTTTTAGTAGAGATGGGGTTTCACCATATTGGCCAGGTGGATCTCAAACTCCTGACTCCGTGATCCGCCCGCCTCGGCCTCCCAAAGTGCTGAGATTACAGGCGTGAGCCACCACACCTGGCTACAGAATTTGCTGAATGAGACCACTCACTCATGGGACTAGCACAGGCAAATCAGTTACATTCTTTCAGCCCCGTTTGCTCTATTCAGGGGCTGTTCTGTGGGCTGGTTGAGATCAGGTATTTGTGGCAGGAGATGGAAAAAGCTGCAAGAAGCACTGGACAATGAAGAGATTATGGGTGCTGAAATTAAGCCAGGAGGAAATAGGTAAAGCCTGGGGCAGAAAGGAGTGTAGAACAATAATCCATGCTGGAGAGAAAGGACCGCCGATCTGCACAGCAGAAGGTGGGCCCCTGGTGAAGGAACAGTAAATTAGATTACGAACTCGACACCTGCAGGGTCAGCAAGGGTGGAATAGGGAGATTAAAGGCAGCCCCAGGGATCCAGGGAGAAGAAAAGGTGCCAGGGCACAGAGTAGGGGCTGAATAAATATTTGTTAAAAATATATATATATGACTCCAGGCTTAGGGTTTTGTTATTGTTTATGCAATCTATTTTGGGTCAAGATGTGCAAGGGTGTCACATTTTAGGCGGGTATGGGGATGGGGAAGGGTGAGGCATGTTTTTTGCTTTCGTGCCTATTAGAATGGCTGGAGGTCTGGGAAGATGTATTGGAAGAGGGCTTCAGATTTTTCAGGCTCCAAGCAGCTTTGTATCAGCAATGTGTGAACTGGATTTCAGCAGCCTCATCTTTGTACCTAGGTTGGGGGTGGGTGGTACAGTAGTGATGTGGTAGTCCTCGAAAGTTCGTTCTTGAAACCCTCCCTCAGCAGTCCTTACATTGCCTGAATCTGGATCCCTGCCGACTCGGAAGCCAAGAAAACTTTAGCTTTTCTGCCGTGCCCTCCCTTTTGCTATGACAGTTGAGGCCAAGATCTAGTTTAGAATGAAGAGATGTGTGAACAGAGGTGTGAGTCAGGGATTTCTCTCTCTCTCTTTTTCATGCCAGACGGGTAATGTACCAATGTTGTAACAAGGTTTGTGTTGGTACGTTTCACACATGCATGTGAACACAATCATCACGCTCATGAACTACAAAAGGAGTTCTTAGTTTTATTTTTCAGTAGAGATGACTGGGCATCAGTCATCAGAAGGCCTATCTTTATTTTTTTATGTTTTGAGACAAAGTCTCGTTCTGTTACGTGGGCTGGAGTGCAGTGGCATGATCTCGGCTCACTGCAACCTCCACCTCCCAGGTTCAAGCCACTCTCCTGCCTCAGCCTCCTGAGTAGCTGGGATCCACCATGACTGGGTAATTTTTATATTTATGTATTTTTTAGTAGAGATGGGGTTTCACCATGTTGTCCAGGCTGGTTTTGAACTCCTGATCTCAAGTGATCTGCCTACCTTGGCCTCCCAAAGTGTTGGGATTACAGGCGAGAGCCACTGCACCTGGCCAGAAGGTTGTCATTATAATGTGCCCTTACCATCTTCCCCTCTTGAGAAAATCTTGTCATGGACTCTGTCTGGTTCAGTGAGCTACAGTCATTTGACCCCAGAGGAGAGCTGAAAACATGTTTTTCCTCGAGGCTCTGGTAGTAATCAGGAGTTAACAGTTTCCTCGGTTGTCTGGTGTTTGGTTCTCACACCCAGAGGTGTACCCAAGGATTCCTCGGAACTGTTACTTTGAGCCCTATTTTTATTGATTTCAATGCAGAGCTATACAGCCTGATTATTTACAAGTTATTCAACTTGACAATTTTGAAATATGTCCTAAATAATTATCTGTTTGTGAATTTAGGTTGATATGACACAACTTTCAACATACTTTTTTTTTTTTTTTTGAGACGGAGTTTTGCTCTTGTTACCCAGGCTGGAGTGCAATGGCGCGATCTCGGCTCACCGCAACCTCCGCCTCCCGGGTTCAGGCAATTCTCCTGCCTCAGCCTCCTGAGTAGCTGGGATTACAGGCACGCGCCACCATGCCCAGCTAATTTTTTGTATTTTTAGTAGAGACGGGGTTTCACCGTGTTGACCAGGATGGTCTCGATCTCTTGACCTTGTGATCCACCCGCCTTGGCCTCCCACAGTGCTGGGATTACAGGCTTGAGCCACCGCGCCCGGCCCACAACATACTTTTAAAAACTACTCTGTGATATCTGTTAGCTCTGTTTTGCCTTTTAAACTTGCCCAGGGTCACAGATTTAGTAAGTGGCAAGGCTGAGATTAAAAGCTTTGAAGGGGCTGAGTAGGGTGGCTCACACCTGTAATCCCAGCACTTTGGAAGGCTGAGGCGGGCAGATCACTTGAGGTTATGAATTTGAGACCAGCCTGGCCAACATGGTGAAGCCCCATCTCTACTAAAAATATATATATATAAAAATTTGCCAGGCGTGGTGATGGATGCCTGTAGTTGCAGCTACTCAGGAGCAATTCTGCTGAGGCTGCAGAATTGCTTGAATCTGGGAGGCAGAGGTTGCAGTGAGCCAAGATCACGCCACTGCACTCCAGCCTGGGTGACAGAGTGAGACTCCATCTCAAGAAAAAAAAAAGCCTTTTAGGGTTTGGACTTGAATTGTGATTCTGTTGCTCAGAAGCTGGGTACATTTCTTAGCCTCTGTAAAAAAAAAAAAAAAAAAAAAAAATATGTTTTTTGAATACCTGCCAGCTTCCAGGAACTAGACTAAGAAATTTTCTTATCTGTAAATTGGGAAAAAGAATCTTAAAGATGATGTGTAGGCATGCATGTAACATCCTTAGGGCAGAAGCTGAAATATCATAGGCATCCAATAATGTTAGTCCTTGTGATTGTCATTTGTCATCTTGTCTGCCAAGAAATATGACTCGCCACAGCACTATCCTTGCCATTTCCATTTAAAATGGTGCTCTTCTGAAGAAAATTTGTAAACATGTCACTAATGCTCTCTTTCCTTAAAAAAGTTTAAAATAAACAAATTTCATCGAAATTTATTTAAAACTTTTAATTTTAGAATGATTTTAGATTTACAGCAAAGTTACAGGATAGTACAGCGAGCTCCCCTGTGTCCTTTATCCACATCTCACATGATGATGGTACATTTGTCACAACCCAGAAGCCAACATTGGTACATTACTATTAACTAAACCCCAGACTTTATTCAGATTTCACTAATGTCCTTTTTCTGTTCCAGGATTCAATCCGCGTTGAATTTGGCATATGCTCCATTCTGCATTTGGCAGTCACTGTTCTGTTAGCTTTCTAGTCACCTCTGCTCATCGACAGGCCCCAGGAACCACTAGCTATGCTTACATTTTGGCATTTGCAGCCTGCTGCCCTTCACTTTTTTTTTTTTTTGAGGCAGAGTTGCCCAGGCTGGAGTGCAGTGGCATGACCTTGGCTCACTGCAACCTCTGCCTCACAGGTTCAAGCAAGTCTCCTGCCTCAGCCTGTGGAGTAGCTGGGATTACAGGTGCCCACCACCATGCCCCGCTAATTTTTGTATTTTTAGTAGAGATGCGGTTTCACCATGTTGGCCAGGCTGGTCTTGAACTCCTGACCTCAGGTGATCTGCCCACCTCAGCCTCCGAAAGTGCTGGGATTACAGGTGTGAGCCACCGTGCCCCACCTGCCCTTCATTTTTTCTGGCCAATCATTTTCTTACCCTCTGATGGATAGAGGGTAAGAAAATAGAATTGATCCCTAACAGTGGTGCTTACTAGCAGTGAAACCTAACTTAAATCCTTTAGAAATCCTCAGTTTTCTCATCTATAAAATGGGAGAAACAATAGTTTCTAAGTGGCTTGGTACACGATGACTCCATATTAAAACATGTTATTCTTGTTATGTCATTATGCTTTCTTCTTCAGATCAAAAACCAGCCTAGCTGCTTATTTCTTCCTTACTTTTTCTCTTTTTTGAGTTGGAGTCTCACTCTGTCTCCCAGGCTGGAGTGCAATGGCATGATCTTGGCTCACTGCAACTTCCGCCTCTTGGGTTCAAGTGATTCTCCTGCCTCAACCTCCCGAGTAACTGGGATTACAGGCACCCACCACCACGCCTGGCTAATTTTTGTATTTTTAGTACTGAGATGTTTTGCTCTTATTGCTGAGGCTGGATGGAGTGCAATGATGAGATCTCAGCTCATTGCAACCTCTGCCTCCTGGGTTCAAGCGATTCTCCTGCCTCAGTCTCCTGAGTAGCTGGGCTTACAGGTGCCCACCACCACGCCTAGCTAATTTTTGTAGATTTAGTAGAGTCAGGGTTTCACCATGTTGGCCAGGCTGGAGTGCAGTGTTGCAATCTTGGCTCACTGCAGCCTCGAACTCCTGGGCTGAAGTGATCCTCCTAACTCAGCTTCCTGAGTAGCTGAGACTACAGGTGCACACCACGCCGCCTAGCTAATTTTTTGTATTTTTTTGCAGAGAAGGGGTTTTGTCATATTGCACAGGCTGGTCTCAAACTCCTGGACTCAAGTGATCCTCCTTCTTCAGCCTCCCAAAGTGGCAAGATTACCAGCCTGAGCCACTGCACCCGGCTAATGTCCCTACTTTTTGAATCCTCTCATTATCTCAAATGTTACTCAGTTTGCTAGATGGGATTTGCTGACTCAGAGACTGCTGCTTAATTACTGCAGCAGTTTAAATGCTCCTTTCAAAGACACTTTGCTAGTTTCCTTCTTTTATAGAAAATTTTGGAAAGTACATGGTACAAAGGGAGACTCTGAAATGCCAAATTCTAAAGTTTTCTTCTCAATCCTCCCCCACCCTTTATTTTGGTGTTTCTTATTCCTAGAGCTGCCTCCATACTGCCTGCAAAGAGGGGAAGGCCCATGCATCTGCCACCAGCTGGAGAGGGCAGAGCTGATGGCTGTGATCTGGAACATGCGATTTTGAGGATTCAAATCATTTTCAGTGGGCTGTACTTGGGTCATGTGACCTAATCAGGAAATTTCATGCAATCTGACATTTCCTCTCAGAGTTGCTTAGGAACCTAAGGAAGGCTCTGGCTCTGATTGGCAGGATGGTAATAAATTAGTCGGTCCCCGGCCTAGCCATCTGGCTTAAGTAAATTAAGAGTATAACCCATATGGGATTTGTCTAAAATAGCGATTCTCATTTTTTTCCCTCCTCTCATTTTTTCTCTCTCTTCATCTGGGTCTTTAAGTGGGTTTAACTTTGCACAGAATTACCGAGCTGACTTTACCCTCTGCTTTTTTGTATCTCTCACTCCTCTCTCCATTCAGGCAGCAAAACTCAGTCTCCTGTAACCCACTAATGAGGCCGTCTTTAATGGCTGATAATCTTAAACATCTTATTTTGAGAATTGCCTGCTTTGAGGTGAGCGTGTCTGACTCAGTGCAGCCTCCACCCTCTTTGTCCACCTTCCTTTAGTCTCCATCTCAGGCCCAATCGACTCTGGGATTAGAGTTTCACCCATTCTCTTTTTATTTTTTCTGAGATGGAGTCTCCCTCTGTTGCCCAGGCTGGAGTGCAGGGGTGTGATCTTGGCTCACCACAACCTCTGCCTCCCAGGTTCGAGTGATTCTCTTTCCTCAGCCTTCTAAGTAGCTGGGATTTCAGGCACGTACCTGGCTAATTTTTGTATTTTTAGTAGAGACGGGGTTTCACCATGTTGGCCAGGCTGGTCTCTAACTCCTGGCCTCCAGTGATCTGTCTGCCTTGGTCTTCCAAAGTGCTGGGATTACAGGTGTGAGTTACCACACCTTAACCTAAATAAATTATTTTTATGCTGCCATTCTTCTGCTCACAAATCTGCCCTGCTTATGGGATGAGCCAAATGTTTCTACCTCAAATTCCTCCATCAAGTTCTGACCTGCCTTTAACTCTCACCTCCTTCCTGTAGCTTGACCCTCACTGGAGACAGTCTGAGCTCTTCCCTTCCTCTGGAAACCTAACTTGTCCTGCCCCACTTATTTTAGTGTTTAAAGATTACACTCTGAAGCCAGGCACAGTGGCTCATACCTGTAATCCCAGCACTTTGGGAGGCTAAGGTGGGCAGATTGCTTGAGCCCAGGAGTTCTAGACCAGTGTGGGCAACATAGTGAGACTTTATGTCTACTAAAAATAAAAAGTTAGCTGGGTGTAATGATGCATCCCCTGTGGTC